TGCATAACTCGTGCATCGCCGGACTTTGTGGACGAGCTCAGTGCTAAGTATCCTCTTCCTGAAAGATTTTTTCAGAACGCAGAAATTCCTAACGGTGGAAAAACGCTAAAACTACGTGCTTTTTACGCGGCTGGACGCGCGCGACAATCGCATTCGTCGCGCCGCGAACGTAACTAATTATTCCCAGGATTGATTTTATTCCTGGAAATTTACCGCCTCGGACGCGTTACTTCGATCTCGATAATATTGTTAAAAATACTATAATATTTTTTTCTTATCCTTGTGTCAAGACATCTGTGTACGAGATTTGAAGGGTAGTTTCACCCCTTAAACTCGAGAAATCTATTTTTCAACGGGGTCTATCGAACGATAACTCAATAGTTTGTTTCTTTGATCGATACTCTGAACGGTGGTTGTATTTGAATATTTCTTCTGTGTATTTGGAGGAACTTCGAGGGTAGTTTCATCCCTTAAGCTTGAAATCTATTCTTCAACAGGATCTATAGACTGATAATTCAATAGTTTGTTTCTTTAATCGGTACTCTGAACGGTGGTTGTACTTGACGATTTCCTCTGTGTATCTTCTGTGTATTTGGAGGAACTTCGAGGGTAGTTTCATCCTTTAAGCTTGAAATCTATTCTTCAACAGGGTCTATCGATAATTCAATAGTTTGTTTCCTTAATCGATAGTTTGAACGGTGGTTTTGATCTGTTTTGGATAACTAGCGAGTCCTTCGTCGTATATGCCCCTTCTTAATTCCAACCTTCGCGTGTCTTGACCGTGTCAAGGAGTTCGAATCAGTATGAGAACTCCGTAACTCGTCCAGCGACCCCCTCGTATGTAACAAGCTGAACCTTGAACGGAAAACGTGTCCTGAGTCGCTGAAAACGCTTCCGTGATCGACTGTTGCTCGTTTTCCTGAATCGGTGCATTCCAAAGTGGAAAGCGCGACTCCCAGGCGCGTCTAATCAACGTTTTAAACATCCAACGTGGTTAAACTCGAACGTCTCCTCCTATCAACCCCTTGCATTACGATTTTTCTTCAAGCAAACGCGTCCACGCAATTGTTAGAAATAAATCTATTCCCAAATTTAAATATTTTCGCGATCATATCCTGTTATTTTCACTCATTTATCGTTTCAATTCTATTTTCGTACGAATAAAAATCGAAAACGCGAAAGGTTTAATCGCAACGAACGAAAGTCCAGCGAGTGGAAAGATCGCGTAAAGGAAGAAGATAGGTCGTCGTACCCGCAAATTTGAAGCAATTTAACGCGAACCGGTCTTAACAGCCGCATTACCATATTATCTTATTATCGAGTGAAAACGGAGCGATGTAAGTGAATCAAAAAGACATTCGAAGAACACGTGTATCATAATAGGTAGCTCGGGTATCGATTATCGGTTTCCCGTAACCTAAACGCGCGACGATCGAGTTTGTCCCGCGTTCCGTTGCTTCTCGATCGTTCGCGGTTTTCGAAATCTTTCCGTTTCTTCGTAGACTTGGAAAATGCTTGCCGCTCGAATCGTACGCGTTTCATCCGGAGATTTAAATTCTGAAACGCAAGAAGTTCGCAAGTGAACGATCTCGCTAAGCTTTTTAACGCGTACGAGCGGTTGTAAAACGATTCCCGTGCTTACGTAATTCTGATCCCACTTGTTGTTAAGTTTTTTTTTTTCGTGTTTTTTTTCTCTCTCTAACGCTGTTCGATTGGATTACATCGACGTTACCTATGCAGTGCACCGTAACCAGCTGATACGTTTGTTTTTACGAGCACGCGTTCAAATATAAATTTGGAAGATAAATTCGAAAATTAGTTACGTATCTGTTTCTTTTTAGTTTCCTTTCCCGGGCTATTCCCGTTTCTAATAAAAGAACTTTGAAGATGAAGATAGGCCAAGCAATCTGTCGTTATCACACAACTCCTGGCGACTCTCTCAATATTTACGTTATGTTAAACTTTTCCCTGACCGAGTATTTTGTTTCTTCGCGTCGCGATTGCTTTCTCCCGGCGTTGTATCAACCTGCTAATCTTCGTGACATAGATTTCCAACAATAAGTGTAAAATCCATCGTTACGTAAACGCGGCGACAGCCGTTACCGAATGCCATGCAGATTTACGAGTTTCTCCCGCGGCGAAAGAAATATTGCTCTCGGATATTCTAGATCCCACTTGGGTGAAATCTCGCGCAACGATTAACGCAAAAACAATCTTCTGTCGCTGAACGAATCGAAATCTGCGGTAAACGCACATGAAACAGAATTCGTAACAACTCGAACAGGCCATTTTATATTCAATGATCAATTTATGTGGAAAGAACCAGACCAGTTTCATTAAACGTTCTTCTCAATTCAAAGTTGACATAAAATTGTTAACATCGTAAACAAATCGTTTTGCACTTTGCAAGCGATTAAAAAAAGAAATCCAAAAATTCAGTAGAAACGATAGTATTAAAATTCACGTTCCTTCACCAGTGAATATAAAATATAGACTTCCATTTCTCAACTTTTTGTCCATTGAGGCTTCGCCTGTTTTCGCAGAACTATAGATCGGTCCAGTTACCAAAAACACCCTGTACGCCCGAGGAATGCATTCGATTATAGTGATGATAATGCGTAAATAAAATAATACGTTAAATCGGTGACCTGAAAGTTGCCCCCCCTTCCCCATTCGTAGGATCGGAGAGTAAAAAAGTGTCAGGCCGAGATCGAGTGTTCGATTTCGATTTCGCTTTCACTGGTACGGACACCCCGACGACGTCGACGACGCCGTCGAACCGGGTCAAGTGCATTGAGGCCGGTTACTATTCTACTGCTCCTATGCGACTCCGCGAGTCCCTCCGGAGTGCGTTCAAAGGAACTCACAAATTACGTCGTTAGTAGTCCGCGACACGCGTCACCGGGTATCCGTGTGTAAGATGCTCTGTCGGCAATTCGTACGATCTGCGTCATTGGCCAATGGCACTGACGATACACTGCTCAAAACAATTAGGGGATCACGATTCAGGAGAGTGAATATCGGGGATGAAAGTAAATGCCTCCACCGGAGACCCCGATGACGATCGATTCGTGCTATCCCTCGATCGTCGCTTTATTTCCTCGTCCGTTGAATTTTTCGATAGCCTTTGCAGGGTGTTATGGTTTCTGGACCGACTATGGAGATCTGATTTTGTTTCGAAAATAAAATTCTAGGAACCGTGTGGCGAAACAGGCGCCTCGTAACTCGCGTTGTTACTTTGGTGATATCCGTCTAAGCAACGCTCCGAGAAGATCACCCTTAATTAAATTTTCGATGAATAGCGACACGAGGATCTAAAGCTGGTTCATGCTGGTATTCTGCAAGCGTGCCACTTGCATCGGCTTTTCTACGCTCACGCCAAGTCGAAAGGATTTCATGCAAACGCGTTGCTGGTATTGTTTTTTTTTTTCTCCGGTAACGGATTCGCGCGTATAATTATTCCTAATCAGCCAGCCCCGCGGGGCTATCGTTTGAAATTTGTCCGATATTTGCATCCTTTACAGACGATTTCGCTTCCTGGTTAATAATCTTCGTTTTATAATATCCAATTAGCGAAGTCCCGCGGCAATGAAAATTCAATTTTCTTGGTAAATGCCGCGTGTGCCTCGTGGCGTGTTTAGTACTTACCGTGCGTGCTTGGGATTTAGAAGGAATATTACGCGTTAAAATACATTTATCGACGCGGGCCCGTTATGTTCAGGACTTTCGATTTTAAAAAATTTCCAATACGATTTAATCCTTTGCGAGGAATTAAATGGGTTCCCACCTGTCTTTACCATTTTTAGAAAATTTCTATTTCTCGGGGTCGACGTATGGGAGAGGATGTTTTGAAGCTAGATAACCCGAGGCTGTTTCGCTTTCAGACGATTCGTGGGTCAAGGTTCGAATGGAGCCTTGGCGTAGATCGTGCACCCTGCTGTTATTTAGACATTTTTAAACGTCGCAAAAACTGGGCTAAAATTCTCTTTTTCGCTTTCTAGAAATTTCATACAATCGTTTCTTTCGACACGTCGATTGCTCCTGTTCTACGAGCGAATAATTTATCATTTACAAGAGAATAGCGAAACGCAATAAATGCCAGGCGTACAGTGTACACGCTCGTAAAAATTGACGAACGGTCGATGAATAAACAGTAGCGATTCGCCTTAAAGGTAGTTTCTTTCATTTAATTGCTCGGTTACTAGACTGTAAACCATTTCTGACAGTCCATAAAGAACAATATACCGATTATTAAATTGATCGAACATTTAAAACCGAAACCTCTTTCGATGACGTCTCTCCGCGCGAAACTTTTACTCGTGCAAAATGTGATCGCAACTTTAAAGGTTTCTCGACAAATTGTACGAAAAAAAGTTAGAAGGAGTCGCGTACGTTCGATTACGATTTAAGACACCTTGGCAAACCCTGGTGGCAACGTAGCTGAGATTTAACGCTTGGCTCAATGTCGTCGAGCCTGATCTCGGTCAAATGCGCGGCTTTATTAAAAATTCTTGCCTATTGCCACCGGCACAACTGCGAAGTCCGCCGAGAGCATTGAAAGGAACTCACAAATTACATTATTAGTACCCTCAGACACGCGTCACTGTCTACTTCAGCACGGACGAGCGTAGCCAATTTCTACGTCATCGATGAGGGCCATTTTCGTACCTTCTACGATACATTTCCTTCCAAACGGGCAACGCCATTGCGTCCACGCGAATATAAAATAGGGGAAAACCCTATTCTTAAACCGATAACTCCGACTCCATCGATCTCCAGTTTATCATATTTTCGGGTGAATTAAGTCGATTCGTACAAAAACGATCGTGTTACAATTGAATACAAACGAGTAAAAATGTTACGATCCCTGCAATCGGTCCCATAATTCCTGATTTTAGCGACGTTTGAAACTAGTACGTCGATCGCGCTCGACGATATCGCCCGTTTACGTTCGATCGACGCGATTATGGGACGGTTCGTTCCGTGGAAAGTCGACTTACGTTTATCCAACGTCCAACAAACAGGAAGAGCCACCGTCGGAGGGCAACGTGCTTCCTTCGCAGACGAATTCCCCGAGCAGCCACGAGGAGGGCCTATTTTCCGATCGAGAAGTCACCGGGTTACCGGTTTTCCGCACCGAATTCAGTCTCTTTGGAAGCTCGAATTAAAACTTTACGGAGGGAACGAATATCGTTTGCACGGGCGAAACTGTTTCCAATAAAGGAAATCCCGATCGAGCGTGTCTGTTTGAACTCGCTGATGTTTCAGACCCCAGAAGAGCGAACGATGGGTCCGTTCAGCGCGCCGTCGAGCGCACTACTGGAAGGCCCGATCATGCCAGCGACACCGGCTCGAAAATACATGTATTCTAATACGCCAATCGAATCTAAGAGCGTGACCGCGACTCACCGCCGATTTGTGTCTTCATTGATACCGAGCGTGTCCGGATAAGCGAACCGGTTCATGCGTTTTCCGTGGAATTCCTTGGGAACGCGTTTCTCGATTCGTCGAGGATACGTCGATGCACCCGATCGATCGACGAACTTACATGCTACATGCATACGTAGCAAAAGTTCACGTCGCTTTCCCATCTTACAAAACGAGTACTCGACAATTTAGCAGCGTTTTGTAAGATGGAAACGCTTCCCCAGGCGACCATTCGACAACCTACGGAACAGAGACAATAACTAATAAAAATTTCAAATACGTTCTTAGATATCTAAATCAACACGATAAAATAAATTTTCATATCACCTATTTGCATATTCAGAATTAAAATTTATGGCCAGTTTTTCCTTTTTCTTCGTGACGTAGGTGTGTTTTAATATCGCTGATTATAGTCGACGCTATCTTTTCTCGATTATTTTCTTTCTTCGTGCACGAGAATCTTTCTGCAATATTGTACCTAGGAATTTTGGCGCCCAGGGCGACGATAGCGCGGAGCGCCCTTCACCTATTCGCTTCGAGAGAAAAGACGCTTTATCGAGTCGTTGAATCCACCTTGAAAGGCGGTAATAAAAATGTGCAGTTGAAACGTATAAGGAATTGAATTTCATCCGTCACATTTACCTTTTCAACCTAAATAACTTGGTTTTCGCAATCCAAGAATTAATTGAGGCACGAACGAAATGTGAAATATTAGAAGCGTATTCGTGGTCGGGAATCCTTGGACGAGCAAAGGAGAAATCAAGGAGTTCAGGTTTATTGTTGACAATATTGTTTCATATGGGTTAGTATTATTATTGGTTGTCGCGAAAGCGGCAAAAAAGGTATTAAAATATCTCGGCTATTTTTGAAAATACACTTTCCTTATAATTCAAGGAGACTGTCGTTCCAATATAATCGTCGTTCATCACGAGGTGACTTCTTTTATAAAGATTAGAATACAGAAATTTAACGATCCCATAACTTTTTACTTTAAAATCACTCTGCTTGTGCCTGAAATTAAATAGACGCAAACAGTATAATTAAAAGCTTTTTTGTGTGTATCGCCTATCGGAACCGGATAGTTGTAACAGTATTTTGCAATTACATATAAAGGAAATGGTAACACTCGCAAAAGTACAATTAAAATAATTATATTGTTAGGCATCCTGCTAAAATATTTTCTCAAGATATCTTATCGACATTTTTTGTCCCTGATAGTTAATTTATTCTTCAGGACCGTACAAAAAACCTGATCCATTAAATGTGGGGAATTTAAATTTTATACTTCATAAGATTCTTGTATCTCCAACAATATCTTCGGGAGGTTCCCTTTTAAGTTGTCGGAGGCGAACTGACAATTTATTCGAACGATTAAAGTTATTTTACTGTTGTTTACCTTCTTTAAAACCGAGTCGGATATTAAGTCGAAATTAATTAGACGTTTCCACAGTTTTGCGAAATCGTGAAACCGCAAGAATAAAAGTATCATTTCGTCTAGTCGTCCGAAGCAAGCGCGTTTCTACAACTTTTCATCACGACAGGCGCCACAAATCCTTGACACACATCATTATGCCGTTATTAAGACAGGATAAGCACATCGCGTAGCGGATTCGAAATGGATGCTTTGCCATTAATGGTAATCGGTTGCAGGAGTTTAATGTACAAGACGGGTTCATGACTTTCTTTCCCGGCGATTGATTAATTAGTTTAAATCGCGACCGCGTAGTTTTCTTTATAGTTTTTCTGTTGATAAAATTGGAACGCAAATAACAGACAAAATGTGATCGACCTTTTTACGAGGAGATCAACAAACTTTTTATTACGATTAAACTTAATTGTACGATAAATATGGGGCACGGCTTAACCTTTGCGCAATAAGTGATTAGAGACCTTGTTATTGAAGCATTCTTTATTATAAAAAAGTAAAAAAACAGTTGTATCTTTGGTTACTTAGTACGTTCGGAAAATAATTTCGTACAAAATTTATTCGACTAGTGACTGTCGAGGATCTTGAAGAAATATTCCACCTGAAGTTAGTAAATGCAAATGAGTAACGTGGTCCGTCGTAAAAAATTCGTGGGAATATTCTCGATTTACTTTACCTCTAGAGTTCCATCTTCTGGCAAATCGGAACAATGTATGGCATTTTGAACTTTGGTTTTTCCATACTTTGCTCGAAGAGTGTCTGGTCTTATTTGCCGTGCGATATCCTGTAGAAAATAGCGACGTAAATATCATTTTTAAAATTAAAGAAAAAACATACTTACCGGATCCATGGGGCCGCAGAGTTTTCTAAATTCCCCTTGAACGTCAAAATTTTTATCCTCGTGTTTCAATTCCATAACAATGCATGCACCTGACTGCAATTCTCCTACCATCGCCTAAAGCCAACCTTGTTACAAATTTTTCTAAAAGTTCCCTAATAAATTCATGCACGAACATACCCCATAATCAGGAAGTACGCCTTTGTAAACTTCTAAAAATTCTTCCGCGTCGAATGGATTGACATTAAATTGTTGCACAGCGGATATGACGTAACCGGCTTTTTGAATATCATAGATAATATCTCCTATAGTAACAGTGAAGAATGATGTTACACTTACTTAAAAGCATCTTTTATTTGAAGGTATATTTTCATGTACCAATTAATTTTGCTTGAACAGCATGTGGTTTAATGATACAGCAAGTACAATTTTCTAATGTAGCTGTATTTGCAGGACCCTTTTGCTTGCTTTTTAAATCAGGAAAGAAAGACTGTAGTTCCTGGTAAAATAATAATAATAACAATGCATTTATATATTTCCAAGATAGTGTAAACGTATCAAAAGCCTATACAAACCCTTTCTGCTGCTTCTTCATTGACCGAACCATGTACCGCATTATGAACACTGTCTTTACCATAACATGCTCTGATCGTAGATGGATCTTTTGCACGGGCTTCTTCGCTATCTTCTGGCCCTATTACCCCCAGCCAACGTGTAAGTGCATGATCACCCAATAATGTTAAAGCTACAATAGGACCGGAAGTAAGATGATTTACAATATACCTGATGAAAAATATAGACAATGGAAATGGACTTTGCATTTAAAAATTCAGGGTTTATTTAACGCTGCTTTGTATCTTACGTTATGTTGGTGGAGTCACCCATGTCTTGGCAAAATTTTGTTGCCTGATCTTGAGTCAGCTTAACCATCTTGATGTTTGCAATGTGAAAATTGCAAGAAATTATTCGTTTTAGTATTTCGCCCAATTTATCAAGAACATCTGTTTTTACAATTGCGAATGTCCTAAAAATAACAGTATTATTTTGTTAAATCGAATAATAACATTATTTGGGCAATCTCAATTTTAACGATTTACTTTTGTATTTTCGTTTGCAATTTCGTCCGCGTAATGCAATCCGCGTAATCCACTATCATAATATTCCGCGAAAATATCGTTACGACAGCGCCTACGTAAAAATCTTTTGCTTCTATCCCTTCGCATTTTGTCCTCCTTAGAAAAGTTTTTCTGGCTTTTATATCAAACTGAAACATTTAGAACATAACTAAGTTTTCATTTCTAAATGTTGATGCAATTAAACTTTATGCTTTACGTACTAATTCGACCGTATTGTCATACGGATAATAATATAAATAGAACTTCTTCAAAATGCTGGCTATTTTGTCGTACCACTCAGCCTCAAAAATATACTTTTCATTGTGGTCCACGGACATATTTTAATTAAATTTATTCACGAATTGATATTTTAAAGAATCTTATTAATCGGTTTCTTTTAGATTATGTGAGGTTATGTTTAGAATGCATTAAATTACCACTTTTGCGTTCAAATTGTATAAAAGTTTAATTCAGTACATTCGAAGAAATAGGCGTATTATTACTGTTGACACCGTAGTTGTTAATAAAATTATGCGTATGTTTAGTATCTATGACAACGACGCGATAATCAGTGAACAGATTGAGTTTGACGCAATTCATTACGAAATCAATACAATTCATTGTCAAGTAGTTTCATGTTATATCATAAATAAATTTCTTTTAATTAACTGTCATGTAACATAGCAACGTGACTGTATTAATTTGAAAAGAATTTGCATTGATACAACATTTAAAAGTAACAGATACATATACTAAAGTGCAAACACAGGTAAAATATAGAATAGATGTGAATGCAATGCTTTGTTTTGTGACAAGGATTGGGTAAAAGGATAAGGAAAGAAAGACTTTTCTACGATTGCAAATTTTAATCTATTCTAACAGAAAATAAACAATCGGTAGGAAAGTTTGTCGAAGCCGGTCACATTACATCGTAAGACGAAGGTAACTTTGGTCGCTAATTTGGATCTGAGATCTTCTACATTCATAATTTCTATCTGAAATACCCTCGAGCACAAATATCAATATTATTCGAAACTCGAGGTTTAAGGTTTTCTTCGGAAAAACATCGAATATCGGGGACATTGAATCTTCCTCCGCCTACCGCCTAGTTCGCGATGTCGCTGCTAATCGGACGATGGCGACTTCCAAGTTGGAAGTTCCAACGTCCTTCAGTGTCTTATAAGGCATTATCGTAATACCACAGACAATGTATATGAGTAGACCTTTCACCCAGTGTATTTTTTCGACCCATTTTCGTGTCACTCGCAACGTTACCAACAGATTCAGAAATGAATTTTAATCCCTTCCATAGTCAACTCACATGGATTTACACAAAACTACAGCTCTGTTTATCAATACTAATTCAGTGAATAGTTTCTCAACTGACCGCCATCCATGAGAAGAGGACGCTAAAATCACCTCCGAATTTTTCGCTCACGTATGGCGATTGTTCGAACTGACGTACAAAAAGACAAAAATTAACGAGATACACTCTTCCAAAGTAGAACAAAATGTTAAAAAGATCATGCATCAAATTGTAAGGGGATAAGAAGGCTTTAACGGGTCGATGATCAACAATGACTAGCTTATGGTCACTGGTGGTCAAGAGTGAGGTTGACATCAAGGTCAGCGGTCTAGTGAAGATCCAGAAATGGTCAAGAGGTGAGACCAATCGAAATAGTTTCTTTGTAGACAAGACAGTCTTACCTGTTAACTTTAACTTTGGCTCTGACTGGTCTCCCCACTCTTTCATCACCTTAGACGTATAAGCAGGGCCACTGCGAAGAATTGTTCAGTCGCGTCGCGAATTCGGGAGTGGGCACATAGCCAGAAGTGAACCGGGGACCGCTGATGACCGCTGATGACCACTACTGGCCAGCGCTGACCATGGCTGACCAATACTGACCAATACTGACCACTACTGACCAGTGCTGACTCGCGTTCCTGTCACTACTGACCACTGCTGACCACTGCTGACCACTACTGACCAGTGCCGGACGGTGATGACTACGGTAAGAACTGTTTAAAAATTCTCTCCCCTCCTTTATTCTATCGTTTGATACCAATTTCGCTTCAATGAACTGATTTTGCCTTGCTTGCCTAACTGACGTTGCTATAATATGAATATTTTCTTACTTTACAGCTGACCCACTGGTAACTACCCTATGTACTGACAACAAGTAGTAAGTCCACTCCACTTATTTATATTTTTATTTTTATTTTTATTTGTTTGTTTGATGTGAATTCAACTTCGTTTATCTATCTGATTTTATTTGGTTACTATGAATGTTCCTTTTCTCGGTTTCCACTTTTACATTGTTCTTCGAATTTATGTGATTGCTTCGATATGTATAATATTGCAGGATATATTAATGTAACATTGTTTTCGATCATATGCTATATTTGTTTCTATACAATATCATGAATTTTTATTTTTAAGCTAGGTGATAGGTTGATAGGTCATTTTTAAGTGTTTAAAAGCCTTCTTTTTAACCCCTTAGCTTAATGATGTTTCAGAGACGTGATGAGTCTACCAGGCCGAACATGAACAAGACGTCTCAGAGAAGTGATAAGTCTACCGGGCCAAACCTTGCTGACGCTTTTGGCACAGTTGGGAATTAAATCGTAAGGCAAAGGGGTAAAACAACTGGTTGTATACGTGCTTTCTTTGGCAAGTGTAGTTAGTACCTTTTGCTTAAAATTATAATCTTCTTGCACACCGCGATTTTTAAGATGACAAATGTCATAGTAGATTCATTTTTAATTTGACACTAATTTTAAAATGAATATACAATGAGTACATATACATATATGAATAGTTCACTTTCTCTCGTCCGCTCGTTCTCTGGTTCTCGCTTTCCGAGATTATGTCTCGACCGAAAGGACCGGAGAGTTTTTTGCTCGATCACCTCTGTTTGATAGAATGAAACATGTGACACCTGTGTATTAGGTGTGATAGCTCTAACCGCTTCAACCCCGGTGCAGCTTGGTTCAGCTTAAGTGGGGCCTCGCCGAGCGCATATATTCTCCTCTTTATACGGAAAAGAGAATGACCTCCGGCGAGAGTCCTTGACCCATATCCGTTCTCGAGTACTAAGCGGGTCCTGTTGTGATCTTGTGTCCTCCAGGACCCGGCGGTTGTACGTAGAGAGGTCCGATAGACGTGGGTCAGGGGCGCGACTTGCTTTTCTGATAATCAAGGCCGGGGGGGATCAATTTGATACCCACACTCAATGCACGCTATGAGCACGTGTCGCGTCGCGTCGCGTTTTATTTAAGCGTGCGATGTTTTTACACGCCGCAATTTTTAATATGACAAATATCGTAATATCGATCGAAAGTAGAGTGATGATTTTAATATCTCTTATAATACTTATAATTATATTCAGTTTAGAATGAGTGTCAAATTAGTAGCTTCCGATTGTTCTTTACATTCTTCAATAATTAAATTCACTTTCATAATTCAGTTGATGACTTTGAGTATCTCCGATATCGAAAGATATCGAAGATACCCAAAGTCTTTCTTTACTTATTAAAATATATCATTAGATTTACGTGCAAGAAGATATTTCGCGACGAATACATTTTCGAGTCAAAGTAACCTCGTATATTATGTACCATTTTTACTTTCTCACTGCACTTGCCTGTAGTTGTAGTATTTGTAGTTTTATAGATTTGGTGTTGGGTATATGTTTCGTGCAGGTGTCTAATTTTTGTTTGTTCTCTTACTAATCAATTAAACAAGTTTCTGTTACAGAGCATATTCCTATGGAAGTTTTAGGTTTATACAAGTAACAATTAAGAATTGTTACAATTTTGTTTGATATTGCTTTGTTTGTGTTTCAGGAAATCATCGTGGGATAAATAGAAGATAGAAGTAAGAAGAATGTATTCCATGTATTTTGTTTCAGATTGCTTAGTTTATGTTTTAATAATTTAGATTTATAGTTAGGTAAAATGCAACAGTATATTTCAGGAAATCTTCGTCGAAGGATCAACAAGGAAGAATATATTTTCTATATATTTTGTTAGATGATTAGATAGGTAGGATGTAAATGAATTTAGATTTATAGTTAAGTAGGAGTTTGGTTCTCAATATCAATCATTATGTTCTTTCTCAAAAAACTCTTTCGTTGGTTGTTTCCTTCGTTGGTTGCACTTTCGTTCATTGCTTCTTCGACCAACGATTGTTGGTCACAAAAGATCTTTATTAATGGAGGGTGGTTGGGAATCGGTTAGGGCGGGTCTCCATTCGCAGCAACCTCCTCGTGGTGAGACCTGGGTAATATTATTTACTGCTTAATTAATAATCGTATCACTCTTAGCTGGGTAATGCAATTATTAATTAAAATCTAAATAATATTAGCAAATTGGCTGCGATTCCCTTGCATAGGTCATCATAAATATAGAGCTTCTTCGCTAGGTTAGTTTTGATTCTCATTGATTCATCAAAGATTCTAGAGTATTGTATACAGACGAGGGATACGAGTAGATCTTACACCCATATTTTACACCCGTATTTTTTTGGTCTATTTTTATGGGGTCTCGAAACCCCATTACCATTTTCGTGTCATTCGCAACGTTACCAATAGATTCAGAAACGAATTTCAAATTTCAATCCCTGCATAGGCAACCCATATGTGTTTATGCACACACTACAGCTGTTAGCTTATCAATACTAATTCAGTGAATAGTTTCTCAACTGACCCCCATCCACGAGAAGAGGCCGATAAAATCACCTCCGAATTTTCAGGTCGGTATGACAGTCAGATTGGGCCACGAAAGTCCATAAGGTGAATTCTGTATTATAAAAATAAACTTTGGACCAGGTTTATTAAATAGATCAACCTATATAATCTCAAATTAATGTACACTTAACGAGACGTGAAAAGTAGAAATTATGAAAAGTCGTGACAGTGTCGGACAATAGAAATTGACAGTATCGTCTGACAGTAATATAAATTATTAACAACCTTTGGTATTTTACTGTTGTAGACGAAGCTTTTCAAATAATTTAAATTGACCAGTAATTCATTTTTATATTAATAATAATAATAGAAAATATTTTCGATGGCATATGCCTCAGTCGCCATCTGCCCTCGGAACACAACGAACAGTTTCACGAGAAACTTGGACGTCCTGCCGTAGATAGCGCTGCAACCTTCCGTGCAGTAGAGCCATTCTCTTTCACTAAGTTTATCAGATACACAATAATTCTTTCTACGTTCTCAGAATACTCTTTATTCTACAATTAACTCTTAAAGCCATACGATTGTTGCAGAACATGTCTTTTTAATTTTCTCCCTTCTTCGTAGACGCGAAATAGATTTCGTGGTCAGATGATTGGTATGTTTCATCGACTACTGGTCGGAGGGTTAATTCGTGGGTTCGAGTTTGGGCATTCAACCACCCACGAGCACCCCGGTAGATCCACGAACGTATCGCGTTGCGTTCAATATTGCATTCGCGTCAGCGGTAGAGTATCGTAAGATACATATTCCCAATTATCTCTCGTCGGTACGGCGATTTATCAATTATTCAGCCCGCGCGGGGTATGC